CTAATAAATTAAATAATACATCATGGTTACAGGACTCAGTACAAGTCTAGCAAGGATTAATTCCCAAGTCCTCCACTAAGTCACTAAAAGACTGGGGAATAAACCCTAGGACTTTTCAAAATTGGTTTTCTTCAAGCAGAGACCACTGTTTCTTGAGGGAGTTACTGGATGGTATGAGCACTGTTTCTTGAGGAAGTACTATCTGCCTATAATAGTAGATTCTTGACCGTGGGACAGGCAGGGACTATAAACAGAGAGAGGCTGGAAAGACATTGAGGCTAGATGGTGATCATTGTTGAAGGGCCTCAAGGAGTAGTAATGAATCCACAAGCATGGAAGAAATCCTCTACTTCCAGTGTCAGTCTTTAAAACAAAATTTTGGCTGGTACACGATCTCAGCTTCTTAGAAGGGAGAGATCTGACTAGAGGATCAACATTCAAGGCTAGCTCAAGCAGAACTATTAACAAGACCACATATCAACAAACAACAGTGGATTGGAGGTTCACACCAGTCATTCCAGCCATGTTGGAGGCATAACTAGAAGGATCACAATCCAAGACTTACTCAGACCAAAAAAATAAATAAGAATTAAGGGACTCATGCTTGTAATCATAGCTACTCAGGAGGCTGAGATCTGAAGGATCTTTCTTGGAAACCATCCTTATGAGAAAGTTCTGTGAGGCACCATCTTCAAAATAATCTGCAGAAAGCAGGATTGGATGTGTAATTTGAATCGTAGGGTGCCAACTGAATAAGCAAGTTGAACAAAGACAAGGTCTTGGGTTCAAACCATAGCACCAACTTCAAATTATACCTATGTTGAATGACATCTCCTTGGCTGAAGGAAGAGGATTCAACTACTCCAGAAGAAGCTCGACCCTGGGCAGAGAAGATTATAAAACAAAGACTATCACATTCGGAAGGCCCTCTAACCATTGAGTAGTAAACTAAAAAGCTGAAAGGCCGGGCAACAGTAGGTGATCATCAAGTAAGACATCACAAACAGCACTGGAGAAGGCAGCAAGGAGGGAAAGATCATCCTCAACAGATCTGGAATATTTGAGATTGGGGGAAAAGAAAAATATTGACAATTAGGTCATGAAAACAGTTGAAATAGTTGGGCATATTTTTGGAAAGAACATTTCGAGAAGTTGAGAGTGAAAAACTAAACAGCCCAGTAAGATGAGAGGGGCCAAGTATGGACCAAATTCTGCTTTCTGAAGATGACTGACAGCAAAAAGGGGAAAGCAAAGAGGGGGGGAGCACACTTTGCACAGAAGTGTATTGCAAAGCATTTTCAACTTCCTTGGGAGCTATTTGTGTGATCACAACCTTCTGTGGGAATATCCTCTTAATCTACTCTTGGTAAGGATTCTGTGGTTTTGCCCTGAAATCCTCTTGTTGGAACAAAAGAACAAAGGGAGGAATGAGGAAGCTGATTTTCATAAGCGTAGCCCACATCAGATGACCACTAGGGCTTAAACCCAAATGGAACTTTCCCTGGGGGCTTAGAAAAGTCATGGAAATTTATGAACTAAGTTGGTCATAATAATGTCTCACTAGACTTAAAATGAAAACATTTGTCTTTAGGATTTGCTTGTTGCAGTAATGAAGTTTTTATTTGATAGGCCAGAACTCTGCCAGTTGAGCCATACCCCTAAGTTTTTCTTGATTAATTATTTGTGGGATAGGGTCTCATGTTTTGGCTAGGTATCAGATTTAGGCTAGCCCTGGCTAGCCTGAATCCAATCTTCCTATTCTTCAATTACACAGCACAGTGCCCACTTTTATATGTTGGGAAGGGTCTCATGAACATTGTGCCCTGGTTGGTTGGCCTCAATCTGTGATCCTCCCAATCCCCTCTTCTCAAGTATCTAGTATTACAGATGTGATCAACCATGCCCAACTTGTTTTCCAATGGTTTTTGTTTGTTATTGTTGTTGTTTGTTATTTGTATTTTTATGGCACTCAGGTTTGAACTCTGGGACTCAAGCTTGCTAGAGAGAGATTCTACACTTGAGCCAGTACACCATTCCCTTTTGAATTAGTTATTTTGCGATAGTTTTGGTTTATGTCAAGGCTAGACTGGACCACAATCTCTTCTATTAATTCTTGTAGCTTGGAGGACAGGTATGTGCCAAGGAGCCCAGTTGAAGTGGAGTATAACACATGTTTCCTCGTAGGATGGCTTCGAAAGTGACCTACTGATGTCTGCCTCCAAAGTAGCTAGGATTATTGATATGAGACAATGTGCTTGGTCTTTCAATATTTTTAAATTAAGACAATTACCACACCAAAAAAAAATCAGAAGTGAGTATTTGCTTGTGACTTTGAGTTTCAACTTTGAATTCATCCTTGAAACAATATGGAAACATGCTTGGTTGTAAATTGCCAGAGATAAACTAGACATTATATTTCTTCACTATTTCCTTATCTTTCTCTGTGTTTCATCTTTTTTTATCATACCTCTGAATGTGAGTACTACTAGACACTGGGAGTCATTTTAATCTTTATTCTCAAACTCAAAGACTGAGAAATGCTGGGAAATTATTCAGCTAACAATCATTATGAGAACAAGTTATGAAGAACTATCATAAGCTCTGAACTTTCACAAACTAGTATACCAATGTTAACATGAAGACCATTGAGAGGAAGGACAAAAGAAAAATTCTCCCTAATGTCCAAACACAATGTATGGTCAAATGGGCTGGCACATGCCTATAATCCTCAGGAGGCAGAAGCAGGAAGAGCTCATGTTTGAGGCCAGCCTGAAAACACACAAAAATGAAAGCAAGACACAATCTTATAATAAGGCGTATCTTTTGTACCAAAGAATTTGTTTTTGCTATCAGTAATCAAATGCCTTCTATACCATTAATCAGATGTTTTCCATCTTTCATTTTTAAAATTTGTCTCACTTGAGACAGGTAAGTGAGAACATTGTGAGGCAGAGGCCTAGATTAAGTTGTACAGAGTCATAGAACCAGAAGATAACACAACCAAGATCACTTGACTGCAAAGCTTCCTTCTTCTACTTCAACATCATCTAAGTCTCCCATTCTGAAAAAGGCACAGGTGTAAGACCTAAAATGAAATGCTAGAAAGCTTCATATCCTATAACACTTCCCAGTGACACACAGTCTTGAAACACACACACACACACACACACACACACACACACATACATCATGGAACTATTCAGGATTATGATTTTCCACTATTTCAAATGATTGTCTTCTGTTTTTGTATCATCTCTCCACTGTGGTCTGAAAGTTTGCATATTCTCTCCATGGGTTGGTATCAGGAAGTGTGCCCTCATGAGGTGATTAGGTCATGAAGCTGTAGTTACTATGAACAGGATTCATGCTGTCATTAAATAAACCCCAGGGAGATCCTTCAAGTCCACCCTATTCTGAAGACACAGCTAGAAGGCCCATTTAAACACAATGAACCATCACCAAACATGTACTTCCCAGTATCCAAAGCTGTGAGAAATAAGTGTTTATTATTTCCCCCCCCTCCTTCTCCTCCTCTTCTTCTGTGTATGGGGGGGGGGGGGGGGGGGTGCGCGCGCGCGCATGCGTGCACCAATCCTAGGGCTTGAATACAAAGCCTGAGTGCTGTCCTTCAGTTTTTGTGCTCAAGACTAGCACTTTAGCCACAGCCCCACCTCTGGCTCTTTTTCTTTTTAAATCTTTTATTTATCTTTTGGGTAATTAGCTGGAGACAAGAGTCCCATGGGCTTTCCTGCCTGGGCTGGCTTCCTCAGATCTCAGCTTCTTAGTAGTTAGGATTGCAGGTATGAACCACTGGTATGTGTATGTATGTATTTGTGGAGATGGGAGGGAAGGGATGGTAGGGGAAAAACAAAGGAGGAGGCTACAATGCTTGATAAGAAATGTACTCATCTTGCTCATTTAATTGTAACCCCTCTGTACAGTATTTTCACAATAAAATTTTACTTTTAAAAAGAGCCATCTACTTTATGATGTTTTGTTAAAGTAGCCCAAACAGTCTAAAATCACTTATAAACATTATATTACATGGGGCTGGGAAGGTGGCTCAGTGGTAGCGCACTAGCCTTGAGCTGAAGAGCTGAAGGACAGCGCCCAGGCCGAGTTCAAGCCCCACAACTGGACCCTCACCCCCCCCAAAAAAATTATATTACTTATGCTCCAAATTATTTGGAAGCTTTGTGTTTTCTTCTTGCAACTTGAAGTTGAAAAAAAAAAACTTCTTATATTTTAATATTAGCTTTATATTTAAATTTCTTCTGGTATTGTTTAATACCAGAAAATGTGGATAGAGCTAAACTCAAATTATTAATAGCTAATAAATTCAACTATCATGATCAACTATCAATTCTCTTCCCTTCTGTACTATACATAGAAGTTTACAGAGCATTCCAGAACTACCATGTTAAACCTTTTGACACTTCTCCTGTGAAACAACTCCTCTCCATTTTCACCAACTAATACTAAGGACACCCTTAGCATAGTAGAAACAGAACTAGAGAAGGAACCTTAACCACATGAAGTCCAGGTAAGCATAGAGAAGAAAGAGTGACTGATATATTTTATTTCAACCTGGAATAGATCCTGGTCAACTCACTGCACAAAAGATAAAGCCCAGTAGATAGCCCCCACAAAACATTCATATCGTAAGTATATGACAACAAAATGAAGTTGCCTAGGCAAGTCATCCTAATGTCAAAATTTAATATAAAAAAACTATTGAATGCAAATGGCAATCTCTCATCACTGTTAATTCTATGGTGCTCCAAATACAGGAGCTAGCCATCCTCGTGGAGATGGCCAGTACTGGAGTCACTACATAGGATTTCCATCTGAGATGAATAAAAACTGATTTTCTGGGGCTCCAAGTTCCTGTACATGATCCCTGAGCTGATCCAAGTTATTAAGGCTTTGCTAAAATAGGGGTCTTGCTCTGACCACCAGCATCCCAGGATTTCTGAAAAGGATGTTTAGGTTTCACTTACCGAAAGTGGTGAGCCATGGAATCTTCAAAGCTGAAGTTCCTGCAGCTTGACCCAGTGTTACAAAGGAGTCCTTGGACAAAGGGCAGAACACCCTGGTTGGGCAAGTCCCGTGGCTGCAAGTAACCTTGTGAAGGATGGAAGGCAGAAATGAGTTCATACGCCTGCTACCAGAAGGAGAATACCTACTGCATCAGAACCTTAATGGGTAATATCAAATTATTTGGATCATTTATGCTGTTATTAATTTAAAAGATATCTGAGTAATCAATTCCCAAACACAAGCCTTTATGCTTTATCCCTCCTCCCCAGCACTGCACTCACACCTCCAGGAAGATTGGCTATGGTAGCAGTAACTTTCTATATGTCTAGCTTCCCTGATCATAGAGTGGCAACTGCTCCATTACACCACCATGCCTGACCTAGCCCTCTGCAGATCAGCCATGAATGGGAAGAATGAAAACAGGTGTTTGTTCCCATCTGATTCTTTTTAAAAGTTGGGAGTTTTTAAGTTTGGATAAAAGTTTTAAATATAGTACAACTTCGATTCCTGAAGAGGCGGGGGGAATGTAAAAAGCTTCTTATTGGACATAACTCAGATATATTGCTATTGCCAAATGGAATCCTGTCCATTCATTTTACTCAAAGAAGAGTGCTATATTTTTTTTTCTCTAAAGGCTTGTGATCCCTGTGTTCCAAGTGACTTACAAGTGTCTCTGTGCCTGGGAGGTTCTTGAAACCGAAGTACCATCAGAATCATGAACAGGATGCATGGCCAGAAGAACTCAGCAAGGGACAGGACCTGTGGATATTCATTCAAAATAAGTCAATAATTTTTAAGAAAAGAAAGAAGACACCAATAAATTTTTGTGAAGTATTCTAATATTTCCATCTCCGGAAGGACGGGAGACAAGGCAGGCAAGTCTTCCTGTAGAGGAAGTCACTGTTATCCCTCCTATGTGTTTCCCAGAACAACCAGTGAGATGGTGCTGAGAAGTCTCAGCTCCCTCCCCATGCCCAGATCCATGACTGGGTCATCTGCTTGCCTCCCTCTGCTAGCCCTGCCATTTGCTCCTCTTTTATTTTTCTTGATTGCAGAACTCATGACATTACAGAAGTGAAAGAAAGAATTTTCCCCCAAATTCTACACTCAACAAATCAACTATTTTTCTGTTTCTAACTCATTTGATATTCCCATATTTTCCATCCACTTTCATCCACTTCTCACTGACATTCACTTCCCAAGTATTCCTCAGAATTGTCACATGACAACCACAGCTATCACCTCAATGATAACAAAACATTACTACCCAGTGAACAGGCCAACATGGTATATACCCAAGCTGCTAGCAGGGAATGTATGTGGTGTTTACATAATTTTTTAATCAATTCGTTGAGGTTGGGAATCAATTCCTATAGCTATGATTATTGGAGTAAAATCTCCTGAAACAAGCCCTTAAAAAAAGTTATCCCAAAGATATGCAATAATTTGTGCAACCTGAGTTTTATTTTTTTTCTCTTTTAAAATTCATTACTTATTTGCCTGTTTGATATTTACTTACTGAGGTGCTCAGGATCAAATCCAGGACCTTACACATAGTAAGCAAGTAAGCCCTAGCCCTAGCTCTAATCCTGAATCTTCAAAGTTAAAAGAAAGAACACTTACATTGACACAAATTTATTTGGGGAAGAAACACTGTCTAAGGAGTATAATCAATGAAACCTTAATAGAAAATCCTTGACTATCATAGAATGTAGATTGTCATCATTTTTCACTTGTAATCTTGTTTATAATATTCCTTTATTAACTTAATTCCCTATTATTTGATAAATAATAAATAAGAAAACCAGGTACAAAACAAGTAATGCATTAGATAAATTTGTTTAGAATGCCTACAAATCAGCAAGTGAAGGAATGCTCGGTCTGACACTGAAGTGGCTATCTCCCTATTTTGAACTGTACAATGCTTTGAACTAAAGTGACTTCCAGCTTCTTTGTCTTCTAATGATGCAGTTGCCATAGCCCTCCATTGTCATCTTTGCCTCTGAAGTGCAGTGAGCAAATCTCAATGTGACTAGGTGAGTGTGAGACCCAAAACCACCAAAACACACACAAGTGGAAGAGCATTTCAGTCCCTAGTGTAATTACAGAAGAAACGATACCACCTTGCCTGAAATCATTCTTGAGGAAGTATTCCTTGTGCCAGAAAATGCACCATGATTAAAAAGTTCTCTTACCAAGCACTGAAACCCAACACAGCACATGCTGATAGTAGGGAAAATGGCTAATGGAGGATACCCTCTGGCCCAAGGGATCATACTGTAACCAGAAAGCTCAAGGACACTCCAGGGGCTACCGTTTAAGTCAGTTAGTTCACTCTCTATAGAAATTTAATATACTTATGGCAAGATTGGGATAGGCAGGTGACGAGGGAAGATGCCATCATTAATTTTGACTGAAAGTAAAATATGCAGCCTAGAAAACATGAAACATTTGATACAATTAAGAAAAATTAATTTGTTGTTTATGCTTTATTCTTTTCCTGTGTGTCTATGTATGTATGTCTGTGTCTGTGTCTGTGTCTGGCCTGGTTCCTTGAACTTAGGGCCCAAGTGCTGTCCCTGAACTCCTTTGTGCTCAAGGCTAGAATTCTACTACTTAAGCCACATCTCCACTTTCAGTTTATTGGTGGTTAATTGGAGATAAGAGTCTCATGAACTTTCCTATCCAGGCTGGCTTCAAACTGTAATCCGAAGATTTCAACCACCTAGCTAGCTAGGATTATAGGTATGAGCCACTGGTGCCTGGCTCTTTTCCATTTTTATTTTTTTATTTTCCATTTTTAATGGCACATTATAACTGTTTTTTTGTTTTTGCCGGTCGGGGGGCCTGTACTCTAGTCCTGGGTATTGTCCCTCAGCTCTTCAGCTCAAAGCTAGCACTCTACCCCTTGAACCACAGGGCTACTTTCGGCTTTTTCTGCTTATGTGGTGCTGAGGAATCAAACCCGTGGCCACATGCATGGAAGGCAAGCACTCAAGCCACCTTCCCAGCCCCACATTATAACATTTTTTTAAGAAAGGGATTTACAAACAAAACAGAAAATTGTTCCAAGAACCAACACTCATGTAATTACTTTTGCTATAATAAATACATAAGTTCATGTAAGATTAAGAAATTTAAAAAATACCAAAAAACACAACCACTTTCCTCAAAACTAAATTATCTTAGTTCTCTTAATTCATTTAAAAAGTGATGTGTTTTTAGAGACAATTTCTCATATCAGCACTTATAGATCTGCCTCATTTAAACAATTCTACTTTATACTAACTCGATAGTCTACTATACTTAGCATCCTGCTGCAGAGTTATTTAACCAATCACCCGGTTATGGAAATTTCATTACTTTGTTTTGAAAGCCTTTGCTATCAGTTTTATGGTTTTTCTTGACTCACTTTTGTAAGTGTATCTGTAAGGAAACATCACTAAGTGGGGAGTCTAAACAAAACTGCATATGATATTTAATCTGGCCTTTTAGTTTGAATAGGCACATCAAAAATTCCTCATACAAGCTAAGCCAATCATCACTTATTCCTCTATACTCTCAACAGCACTTTGAATTAACAAACTTTGCTGGCTGCTGGTGGCTTATGCTTGTAATATAGCTATTCAGGAGGCTGAGAAATGAGGATATCAGTTTGAAGCCAGTCTGGGCTGGAAAGTTCTTGAGACTCATATCTGATTAATGACCAAAAAGCCAAAAGTAGAGCTGTGGCTCAAATGGTAGAGTGCCAGCCTGAAGCACAAAAAAGCTGAGGGACAGCACCAAGGCCCTGAGTTCAAGCCCAGGACTGGCACAAAAAAAATGATAAAAAATAAATAAATAAAACCCCAGAAGTGGAAGTGTGACTCATATAGTAGAGTGCTAACCCTGAGAAAAAAATCTCAGGGACAGCACCCAGGTCCTGAGTTCAAGCCCCAGAACCAGCATAAAAAAAAAAAAAAAAGAATTAAACTTTAAATTGTCAAACTTTATCAAACTGATATTTGGACCAATTGCTTTTTGTAAGCATGGTATAGTTATTCACACCCTTTTGTTCCAGACACCCATGCTAGTTTTCTCTGTCTCATTCTCTCTCTCTCTCTCTCTCTCTCTCTCTCTCTCTTCTCTGTCTCTCTGTCTCTGTCTCTCTGTCTGTCTGTCTGTCTCTCTCTCTCTCTCTCTCTCTCTCTCTCTCTCTCTCTCTCTCTTTCTCTCTCTCTCTTTCTTCGGTATGTGTGCATCTAATATTTAAGCCCACTTCCATTTCTGGCATTTTGCTGGCTAATTGGAGATAAGAGTCTCATGGACTTTCCTGCCCAGGCTGGCTTTAAACCACAATCCTCAGATTTCAGCCTCCTGAGTAGCTAGGATTACAGACGTGAGCCATCAGCGCCTGGCTCAGAGTTCTTTAATTATGTTGTCTTTGCATAATAAAGATACTAAAATGCCAACTTAAAGTTAGAAACTTGATCAAATGAGAGAGGTAGTAAAACAGGGAATATAACGCTAGAAGATTAGAGGCATGGTTTAGGATTAGAATATCTGCTTAGAAGTAGAAGGTCCTCAGTTCAAAGTCCAATACTACCCCAAATATTCCCCCAGAAAAAAACAAAAGAAACAGAAAATATGAGAAACATCTAAGACTAGGAAAGGGCCAAATTCTTTAATTAAAAAAGCAGGACATAATGACTTACCAGGCAGATACCAGAAAAAGAACAGTTGAATAGAAACATAGTTGTTCAGGCTGGTGACTCACAGCTGTAATCCTAAATTACTCAGGAGGTTGAGATCTAAGGATCAATTAAGCACCAGAAAACCAAAAGTAGCACTATGGCTCAAGTGAGAGAGAGCTAGCCTTGAGCTGAAGAGCTCAAGGACAGTACACAGGCCCAGAGTTCAAGCCCCATGACAGACAAAAAAAGAAAGAATTCTGCCAAATTGGTAAGTGGAAACTTTGAAGCTCCAAATATTTATCAGTCTAGTCTTAAAATCAATGCCAAATTTCTACTTTCAAAAGAGAAGTGACACTGCTAAAATAATTTACTCTTTCTGTCTTATCATTGAGAGATTTTCTCTGAGCATCTTGGAGCAAAAGATCAAAATTCAATTAAACCAAAAAACAATTATTTCTTTGATTTTATTTTATTTTTTTCCAATTTACAGGTTTGTCACTGGCCCTTTTTGAAAGCACTAGCAGGGGAAAAAAAGTCTTCCATTGTCCCAAATTTGAAATTACTCCCCTCAAGAGAAGAGTATCAGAAACTGAGTTTTGGTCTGTCAGCCATCTATTGTAAGCTGCTGAATCACTGCCTTTCATGAGGCCATTTCTTCAGTTTCTCTACAGAGATATAAAAAGGAGCCTTCTCTTCCTCCCTCTGTTTTGTGTCATGGCTTTCTTCTCATGTGTCATTATTATTCTTGACCCTTGCTTAACATTGCAGATCTCAGCTCTGTTCAGTGGGAATTCATTCTGGTTGATCTTTAGGGACGTTTTTCTCTTCTTGACTTCCAGCACTCCAGTGCCAGCTTCTTAGTGCCAAATGGGGCCCAACATAAAAGCTGCATCCACACGGCCCGAAACCTATGAGGAGTAGAAGCCACCACAGGCTCTGCTCATGAGGCAAATAATCACCTCGTAAAGCCTTAACAACCCTTCTTAAGCCATAGAGCTCTCTTTTCTTCTTGCAGAGACTCCCCCAAAGGGGAGGGAAGAGAAACAGTCCCACCAGGAGAGAGGAGAGGGCCTCGTTTATACTCTA